TCCACGCCGTGGCGATCGACCAAAACGACACCATGGCCAACTGTATTCTGTGTATTTACTATTTGGTAGTAGTACTCTACAAGCTTTCTTATTAATGGTGTTGCCATTGCGTACGGCTATCACAGCATCGACCTTTTGACACCATCCAGATGCCTTGTCATGCTGCCACGTACTCGAATTAAACATCAACGTTTCGAGTTGATACATGCAAGCGACAACCGTCGCTTCGATCATGTCGCAGACGCAGTGCGGCCGACACGAAGGAGTCGACATCGATATTTGGCAGGACGTCGCGCCAGCGTAGTGTAGACAATATCGTGTGTCATACTACTACATATACAGCAGCCGAGTCGATCGAATGGCACCTACGACGGCGACTGGGCCTTTCTCACGAGCTAGAATGCAACTATGGCATAGTGGACGACGACGACGATTTTGTTCTTTCTGGTGGTACGGCACGAGCTGCAGAAGCTCGTCTCAGTAAAGATTCAAAACGCAAGCGTTTTTGAGTTTATGTGAAACTCAAACGACAGCGATCACCACGATCGGCGCGCGGTCCAAGGGCGTCGACCACGAACGCATCGGTGTCTTCTGGCAGCGCCTCCACGATGAATGGGACGTTCAGGGTAAGTGCCAGCGCCCGACAGAGCGCGCGCTTGGCTCCATCGGCATCTCCATGGCCTTCGCTGACGCTGGATTCCAATTGAAGCGTCCGGAGATGGCGGCCCGCGGCAACAAGCTCCGGAAGCACGTCGAACACGACAGAGCGCCGGATCGTTATGCCCAGTGAAGTCAAGCGCGGCAGGTCCAGCGTGCCAGAGAGGACAGCTACGACCTCACGCCGCGTCAAAGCATCACAATACAAGAGTTGGAGCGTCTCGAGATGCACGCACGTCGTCGCAAGCGTCTCCATGAGCAGCTCCGTCGACGACGAAAGGTTGCAGTCGCCAAGCTTAAGAGACGTCAGCGCTGGGACCGACGACAAGCCGTCGATCAATGCCGGCATGTGGTCAGTCTCCAATAAGGAGACCGTAAGGGACTGCAGTTGCGATAGCATCGGCGCAGCCGCCGGGAATGTCGCCAGCTGGCCAAAGACGCTGCACTCGAGACGCTCAAGCTGCGTGGGCCCGACGGCGGTCGCAAGGTCCGTCAGCGTTGTGGCGTCGCCTACGTAGTAGGATAGGGGGCGAGCATCCCACTCCAAGGTCTTCAACGACACTGGGAGCGTACGACCATGGAAGCCACCGAGGCTGCGCACGTTGACGATGGCGAGCTCTTGGAGGGTTGTGCTGGCTTGGAGCGCATCGCAGAACGCAATGGCCCCATCGTGGTTCATCTGGTCGACATAAGTCAATCGAAGCTTCGTCGTTGGCGTCGTTGAGAGCCATGCGGCCAAGCGATGCCCGAGTCGTGGCGTGGTAGTCACGCCCTGCAGGTCGATAGACAAGTCGTGAACATGCGGGTGGGCGACGACAGCGAGCAGATCATTGAGCTCGGCGGCATCGCTCTCCGAATAAGAAATGATTGAGATAGACACTTGGCGCAGACGTGGGCAGCGCTGCAAGAGGAGGTTGCTGATCGCTCGGCCTCGGCCTTGGACCATGCGCCCACTGTAGAAACAGAGAATGACGTTGCGGAGGGATGGGCCGACGGCGGCAACGAGCGAGGCCAGTGGTGCGGCGTCGCAGATCACATACTCGAGTTCGATGCGTGGACGCAGCGGCAGCGTCGCCGCGAGTAGCGCCAAGACCGAAGGCGGCAAGTCCATGTCGCGCAGCTTGATGTGCGGCCAGTTGGCGATGACCGATGATGGCATCACCGTGGTGCAGTCGAGAAAGGCCGACAGCGCCGGCGTCCAGAGCGAGTGTGGCACCGCGTGGAGGAAACTGCTAAAGTCGTCCTGGTTGTCCAAGCTCGTGGCAATGGCCTCGACGACGTGCGGAAGCGCGAGCGCATCTCCTGGCGTCGGACGAGCCACCTTGGTCTGGCGCCCGCTGTCGGCCATTTTGGTTTTGCTTCCAATTTTGGCCTCTTCACGGTCCAGATCGGTTCGGAACCGGGTCTAAAAATGGCGCCAAAACCGTTAGCGTTTGAAGCCGAGCCGAACCGAGCCGCCAGAACGGTTCTCACTCGTTTGCTAGCCTATGGTCTTGCTGCTCTGTTCAGTATTGTCTACTATTCTAAGCATACGACCCAGGAATCGCAATGCATCCGATACATGCAAGCAACACCGACGACGTGGTGTTTCGTCGTTGCTCGAAGATCATACCGCGCAACCAGGCTGCCACGTGGGGTCCGTAACCGGATCCTCCGACCGTAACCGGATGCGTATCCGGCAATTTTGGATTCGCGACGGGCGGCAGCAAGCAGCACCAGGATGACGACCGAGCTGACCAGCCGTCCGCGGGACAAGCATCCGCGCCGCCTCACGCCCGACGCGGCGCTGCTGTCGGCCGAGCTCCTCGAGGCCATTGCGACGTACCTGCCTGTCGAAGGCATGACATCGTTCCTTGATGCGCTGCCCGAGCACCTGCGCACGCCGGCGCTGGAGCTCCTCGCGACGCTCTCGCAAGTGCTGGGGCTTCAAGTGCTTTGGCCCACGCTTGATCTGAGTGTACTCGTGCAGCTTGCGGACGCCGACAACATACTCGCCCAACTCCTCAGCGTGAACCCCGCGGCGGTGTATCACATCGCCGACGTCGCAGTCCATTGCGCCAGAGGTCGTGCAGCCATCACGTCCATGTGTTTTGTGAACAATCTTTGTTTGTGTCGCTCCATCTCTTCATCTTGGCAAACAACATGTACTCCTGGCACACAACGAAGCGTGTTGGCTTGGTGTTGGGTTTCAGATTCAGCGACTGATGACGGAGCTCCTCGCGCCGGCCTTTACCACGCTCAACGAACGTCTCTCTGCGTGTGGACGCCGCCAGCATCCCGCCACGCACCATCTCTTTTGCAGCACTGCGTCAAGGGTGATTAATCCATTTTTTTCACCTTTAACTGCGTACGGTTGTGCCACGTCATGGGTCCCGCCAACCGCGCGACAGACGAAGCGTTTCTCGAGCTCAGTGATTTCCTGCCCGTTCTCACCCACCTGCATGTTGCGACGCTGTCCATCGACCTCAATTGCGCTCGCATGACGCCGCAGCTCTTGGCTCGTGACAGCGCAGGCGACGTCGTTCCACCTCCTTCACATTGCGCGCATCAGTGATAACACTAATATCAGCTTATGCGATGCGCTTCAAGCCAGATCGACGCTCTGCGAGCTGAGTCTCTCCAACGTTCCCAGCCTTCGTGGCTTGTACCAAGGCTTGGCCGTGGCGCCTACATGTAGCTTTTATCGACCCTGTGACGTTTGCGCACGCTGGATTGGCCATTGGACTTTCTGCCAATCGGATCGCGCATCCGGATACAAAATTTAGAAGCCGGATTTCAAGCACATACCAAGATGACTGACAAGCAGAAGGCCGCCCGTGTGACGCTGACAAACACGCTCGCCCTTCCGCACGTGATGGAGGCCATTGCCACGAGCTTGGACAACCAAGAGGACCTTGAGAGTTTTCTCTACGCGATACCACGATCGCTCTGGACGCCGGCGCTCACGGCCTTTCTCGACTGCACCACGGTGATGCCATATTCGATCATCGCCAACTGGCCGCACATCAAGCTGCGTAGCATAAGATTTCGGTCTTCAATCTTGACGCTGCTCGCGGCGACGCTGCCGCTGCGTCCACGCATCGAACTCCGGTATGCGGTCCGGGACACGGCCTCGCTCGTTGCCGTCGTCGGACCTGCACTCAGCTGCGTCATTCTCGGTTTCTACAGTGGGCGCATGGTCCAAGGTCGAGGCCGAGCGATCAGCAACCTCCTCTTGCAGCGCTGCCCACGTCTGCGCCAAGTGTCGATCTCGGTCATTTCTTATTCGGAGAGCGATGCCGCCGAGCTCAACGGCCTGCTTGCTGTCGTCGCCCACCCGCATGTCATCGACTTGTCTCTTGACCTCCTTCTCGCGATCACTGTACCGCGACTTGGCCATCTTTTGGCTTCTTGGCTCTCGACGGCGCCAGCGACGAAGCTCACATTGGTCCGTGTCGCCCAAATGGACGACGATGCCATGATGGCATTTTGCGATGCGCTCCAAGGCAACACAACCCTCCAAGAGCTTACCATCGTCGACATCCCCAGCCTCAATGGCTTCCACGGCCGCACGCTTCCAGTGTCGTTGAAGATCTTGAATGTTTACGTCAATGGTGTTGTTGACGCCGCAACGCTGACGAGCCTCGCGAACGCCGTCGGGCCCACGCAGCTCGAGCGTCTCGAGTGCAGCGTCTTTGGTTCGCTGGCGACATGCCCGGCGGCTGCGCCCATGCTATCGCAACTGCAGTCCCTTGTCGTCTCCAGGTTGCACGTCGATAACATGCCGGCATTGCTCGCGGGCTTGTCGTCGGTACCGGCGCTGACGTCTCTTGAGCTTTGCGATTACAGCCTTTCGTTGTCGACGGAGCTGCTCATGGAGACGCTTGCGACGACGTGCATGCATCTCGAGACGCTGCGCGTCAGCAATGAGCAGTTGACGCGCGATGGGGCCACCGCTGTTCTCTCGGGCGTGTTGCAATTGCCACGCTTGACGACGCTGGACCTCTGGATGCCTCTGCTGGATGTGATAGACGTGCTTCCAGAGCTCGTAGCTGCGGGCCGCCACCTTCGCCGCCTCTCCTTGATGAGCATCGAGCGACCCAACGACGATCTGGAGAAGCGCGCGATCTACGAGGCGCTGGCGCAAGTCCCCAACGTCCCGTTTGTGCTTCAGACGTTGCCAAAAGACATGGACAAGTTCGTGGTCGACGCGCTCAGTCGACGCGCCGATCGTCGCCACCATTGCGACTTGGCTCTCTGAGCGTTCCAAATAGCCACAAATATGTTTTTCTTGTTTGGTTCAAGGTGGCCATCGTGATGAAGCAATTCTGTGGTTCCGATACCAATGGGAAAAAATGAGAAAGGAACAACACCTACGGGGCTGGAACGTCGCACCTCGTATATGGATTTCCGTTGGTGCGAAATTTTCACGTCGAGTGGCGATCGACCAAAACGACACCATGGCCAACTGTATTCTGTGTATTTACTATTTGGTACTAGTATTCTACAAGCTTTCTTATATTAATGTGTGTCGCCATCGCGTACGGCTATCACAGCATCGACCTTTTGACACCATCGAGATGCCTTGTCATGCTGCCACGTACTCGAATTAAATATCATTGTTTCTAGTTGATACATGCAAGCGACAACCGTCGCTTCGATCATGTCGCAGATGCAGTGCGGCGGACACAAAAGAGTCGACATCGATTTCTGGCCGGACGTCGCGCCAGCGTAGTGTAGATTCGCGCTTGCACTACGCGCCATCAATCCGACACGGTATCCGCGTGTGAGAGTGGATTGGTGGAAATTTTGGTCGAGCGGCCAATCCAGCGCCAGCAACGCAGCCCTCTCAAAGAGACAGTAGGTAATACGTGCAACTATGAGCGGCATGACGCTGACGGCATCACGAGCCAAACGCTCGATCTTGCGGACGCTGGCGCTCGCTCACACTGGCCTGTTTGTGGTGGACGAGCTGCCAGACGATGTCAATGGATACGGCGTCGTCGCGACCAGTGCGAATTGCATCTCTAAACGCTACGGATAGGCACCAAGAGGATGGTCGGCGTTGTCGAGCTCTGGCAGCATCCTTAGCACATCCGAGAGGCGCATCGAGATGGACAGTGTCGTCAACTGCGGCAATTGCAGCAACAAGAACGACTGTGACCTGAACGCATCTCACACGCTCCTTGATGATCGACCAGCCGTGAGTCGACAATTAACCGTTTGGTGAGGAGCGTTTTAAAAACAAAGTCGGTGACTTGAGGTCGGACGCACTGGGTTCGACCAATCAAAGCGGATGTTGTTGTATGCATGCTATACTTGAAACGTTGATACTTTTTTCCATTGTCGAGTACTAGTACGTGGCACGATGGCAACGCATCATGTCGTTCTCAAAAAGGCCGATGTCTCTGTAGCAGCTGTGCATCGTCGTCACGTCCCAGCACCACGATGAACACAAAGGTATTCAATATTGTCTGTGAATGGCGTCATACTTCATGTACAAGTCGATCGAATGTCATTCCGACGGCGTCTCGGCCTTTCTCACGAGCTAGAATGCAAGTATGGCATAGAGGACGACGACGACGATTTGGTTCTTTCTGGTGGTACGGCACGAGGTACCGAAGCTCGTCTCAGTAAAGATTCAAAAAGCAAGAGTTTTTGAGTTTATCTGAAACCAAGGGTATATAATAAATTTATTATATACCCTTGGTTTCAGATAAACTCAAAAACTTTTTCAGCAAGGGTATATAATAAATTTATTACATACCCTTGCTGAAACTCAAACGACAGCGATCACCACGATCGGCGCGCGGTCCAAGGGCGTCGACCACAAACCCATCGGTGTCTTCTGGCAGCGCGTCCATGAAGAATGGGGTGTTCTGGAGAAGTGCCAGCGCCCGACAGAGCGCGCGCTTGCCTTCATCAACACCTCCAGCCCTTTCGTAGTGGACAATGGTCTCCAATTGGAGCGTCCGGAGATGGCGGCCCGCGGCAACGAGCTCCGGAAGCACGTCGAGCATGGGAGAGAGCAGGATCAACATGCTCAGCGACGTCAAGCGCGGCAGGTCCAGCGTGCCAGAGAGGACAGCTACGACCTCACGCTGCGTCAAAGCATTCAAACCCCAGACATGGAGCGTCTCGAGATGCATGCACGTCGTCGCAAGCGTCTCCATGAGCAGCTCCGCCGACGAAGAGAGGTCGCAATCGCCAAAATCAAGAGACGTCAGCGCCGGGACCGACGACAAGCCGTCGATCAACGCCTCCATGCGGTCAGCGTCCAACGCGGAGATCGTAAGGGACTGGAGTTGCGATAGCATCGGCCACG